TTTCCAAGATCAAAGTATCTGAGTTTCGGAACTTATGCATATGTGAGAGACGTTTTCCCGTATTTCCTCTCAGTGAGATGCGGAAACAGATGTCTGTATGTTAATGCACTGTGTGTGTATTGTCTATCTCAGAAGATCAAAGTGTCTGAGGTTCTGTAATTCTTACAGGAATAAGGAATAAACAATTATATAATACATAAACAAAACAACAATAGATATGTAAAATAATTAAGCAAATAAGTACTTTTTTTTCTCCACAAACAAGAAAAATATTAAAGACATTGTTAAAAAGAAAGAAAAAAGAATTAAAAAAAATAAATAAATAAAAATTTGCACAACAGTACATGTAAGAAATGCTCTTGCTTCAGTTTTGTCCACTGGCTGACAGTCTTAGTTTGTGACAGGCTGATACATATCTTGCTGCTGTTGGGATCATTTTGGAATCTTCCCCTAAAATGTCACTTAATTTTTCTGTATTTGGTAATGCCATAAAATGTGGTTTAATTTGTAGGAATTTGGGGAAATATGCAGCTCTAATGTTGTGGTAGTAATCACAGTGCAGTAAGAAATGTTCCTCTGTTTCCAGCTCTTTCTGTGAGCACAGTGAACACAGTCTCTGTTCTCACGGCTGCCATCTCTGTCGGTGTCGTCCTCTCTCTATAGCCAGACAGTGATCACTCAGTCTGTATTTTGTCAGTGTCTTTCTTAATTTGTGATCTTTTACACAGCTCAGGTATTCTGCTGGTTTGTAGTCTCTTTTCAGGTCTAAATACAGCTCCATCTTCTTTTGTAATTTAGTGGCATCTTTCCAGTAAGCAATGTAATTGTGTTTTTGTAGCTGTGTGATATGGTTGGGCCGGATTGTGCTGTGCTGGTTTGGGTGTAGTTTGAGCACCAGCTGTAAAAGGGCACTCTTCTGCAGGTTTGAATTGGAATTTCAAATTGAATTGTATTTTTGATCATGTAGAAGACTCTCAGTGCCTTTGCTTTCTGTTCATTCACAGCCAGATTGAAGTTCCCTGTTGAGCTGATTTTTAGTCCCAGATAGCTGTATTCATGGGTGTGTTGGAGGACCTGGTTTTCCGCTCTGAATGTGTGTTTATTTTCCTTACACCTGGGTCTCTTTTGAAAAATCATTATTTTAGTTTTTGCGAGGTTGATTTTAAGAGCCCATGTTTGACTGAATGTCTCTATGATGTCGAGGAGCTGTTGTAGTCCCTCTATTCAAGTGATCATTGCGTTTTGAATATGGATATTTTTCTTACAAAAACGCATCGATTCGCTACAGGAGGCCTTTATTCACCCCCCGGAGCCGTGTGAGACACTTTTTTTATGGAAGGGTGCTTTTTATTTCAGGTCTTTTGAACCGAAGCACTGCAACACCCGCTGAGTGCAACGATAGCACTTGAAAGATCAAAGTCAATTTTTAATATAACTCCGACTGGATTCGTCTGAAAGAAGAAAAGGGCCTTTCGCACCGCTTTAGTTCCAGAACTAAATCTACAGTACTAAAGTACTGGGACGATTTTGCGCGAATTATTTCCCAGTACCATTTAAAGGGTTGCATTCACACCGAGAGTGTGTACTTAAGACTGTCGACAGACAGTTTGTGCGCGGCATCATTTGTGCGCGGCGTTCAACAACAGAAACAAAGAAGAACAACATTAACAACAGGAGGCTGGAGGACGCTGTGATCGGAGCTGTGTTTTTGTTGTGTCTCGTGGGTTTCACAATAATGGACATGAAATGTCGACGTATACGTAAAGCGATTGAAAGAACGGAAAGGAGGACTAAGAATCTCCAACGACAACTGGCAGTGCTACATTTGCTACAAGTGCCTGCACTTCAGCGTCCGTCCATCTATCTCTGTTCTCCATGCTTGCGAAATAAGTTGACACAATGTTTACAGTATGTTTACACTGCGTTTTAAATCATGGCAGGTGAGGGTGTTTTCGTACACGTTTGGCCAATCAATGTCTACTTACGTCCCGATTAGTACCAGTTGTGCTGGTTAGACCCTGCTCCGGAGTAGGAGCTAATTTGGTTCTCGAAAAAGGCAGTCCGGTACTAAAATCACACCCAGTTCCGGCGGTGCAAAAACGCCAAAAAGTGGGTAGTTCCACAATTAGTTCTGGTACTATGAAAAGGTTCCTGCGGTGCGAAAGGCCCTAATGTCATATACACCTAGGATGCATCAGGGGTGAGTAAACCACAGCCTAATTTTCATTTTTGGATGAACTAACCCTTTAATACATAAAATGTAGTTATGTTCATATTATGTATAGGCATATTACATTATGTATTTTAACAGTGTTGTTCAATAAAACCATGTAATTACTTCACTTAGGTCTTTTTGTTACTAAAAAATATCAGCTTACTCAATTGTCAAAATAATCAGTAGATTACTTGATTACCAAAATAATCATTAGTCACAGCCCTAGATTAGTTAAAATATTTCAAAATACAACTGCATTGTTTTACTTTTTGTAATTAAAAGACAAATATTTTGTAATTGAAAATTTCTTTAAAATTCTATTAAGATATTGTCTCGTTCTAGTGAACCAAGTATCTGTATTTTGTCTCATCTCGTGAGCTAAGTGCATTGTCACACCCCTAGTGTCGATAAGAGATGATATAGCTCATAATTTTCCAAGTGTATGATACAGCTTTCATTCTTCAGGTCAACCATATATATTCATGAAAAAAAGATCAGTTTGAATAAGGAAAGCAATAACTTTGCCATAGTATCCTTTCAAATGTTAAAGTTGCCACAGTCATGTGCTGCAAACACCCCCCTATTCCCTATTTTGACTGAGATTTGCATGATCAAGCACCACTCTATAGAGAAAAAAAGGTCTTGCAGTGCTTATTATTTCAGTGTTTCTGTGTGTTTGAGCGTACGTGATCAGCTTCACGTTTGATGAGATTATCATCAAATGCCTGCGCTATAACAAGTCTTATTCTGAGCTGATTGTGAGCTTGTGTTTGGGTGTCTCTCTGGAGATCTCCAGATATCTCTGCTTTCCTGCCCTGCCTCTTCCTCTCACAGTAATACAGGATGACACTGAGCTTCCTCACACACACACACACACACACACACACACATCCAGTCGGTCAGGAGAAGGTCAGAAATTCCTCAGAACAATGCTGGTATTGAGGAGGAGAAACACATCAAACCGATGATTATAGATGTGCTGACTAGAGCTCAGAGGAAACTCTCAGTGCTCAGAAGATGCTCTGTTTTTGCTCAGGAGACTTTTATTTCAGTGTCACCTTTGTCTCAGATATTTGTCTTAGAATTTCTATTAATAGATAAACACAAGTAATTCAATAATTGCCATACAGTATGAGTACAAACAGGGAGTTTTAATATTTTAGTTGCCAAAGAACTGCAAATATGATGATCCTTGTGCAAGAGACCCCCATCCTACAGTTTAAACAAGGCTGCTATATATTTTCATGAATAAGGACCCAATTTATACTGGAAAAAATGCATATTATAAATATGTATAAAATATTATTTGGTATAAATTTTTAAGTGTATTTTTATTTTTCATTATTAGTTTAATTTATTGTAATATATTTGTCATATTTGATATATGAGAGTTACAGAACTACATTGTCTGCAATTCATTAAACCCATAGAATATAATGATGTTATGACAAATATGAGAAATTCGTTATGGAGGTATCTTTGTTATCCACAATTTAATTATTTAGGTAATAGTGCATCTGACCCGATCTGAATAGTTCTGTCTTAAATCAGAATATGTTCGAGTATTTTCGATTAATTGTTTTAGTGCAGAAGGGATACTCTACACACAGTATTATATTTTCTAAAGGAACATTTTATCGCAGATTTTTCCATGAATGCATTATACTGAACTAACTGACCATCTTCTTCTATCAAATCAACAACATAAAGAACTTTTGTTTCAAACCATTCTTGTTTAAATAGCATCTTCCTATTTATTTTAATAATTCTATTATTCCACAAGATGGCTTAATGTGGTGTAAAGTTGTGGGTAAATATCATTTTCCAGTTTTGCAATATCTGTTTGTTTACATTTGTTTACATTGTTTACATCTCGAAATCGCATTTCAACAAAAATTCTAACCCACCAACTCTTTTAAATATAGCCTTTGGTATATGAAACCAAACTGAACTAGGCTGTGTGAAATAAGATTTAATCCAGTTCAATGATCAGGCAAGTTTAAGATATGATGGTGGTCCGACAGTGAGCCTGCAGTGGTGGTCTGATATCTGGAAATCTGATCTTACTATCTGGGCTTTTGTTTACAGTTTGGTCCCCCTGACTTTGAAAATGTCTCCTGTGCCCCTGCTGGAAACAATGTAAGGCAGCAGTGACCGTGACCAGCTGCAGATCAGCCCGCAGTTTTCTGAGGATAAAGATTTCTGGGAAATGCAGAAGAATATAAACAAGTCGAGGTTTAGCAAAGTGTAAGGGTCATAAATAAAGCTCAATCCTGCCCCAGATCAGCTCAAATGACTTTAGCATGTGATTTCACAGCAGCTTAGAATAAAGCACTTGTCAAACAGACCGTAAACACATGCAGGCGAGATCCGTGAGATGATTGTAAACCACAAATACACCTCAACTGCAATCATACTGCAGCTATAATTCAGCTAATATCTTGTGACTTTTTGTGATTAAAAAAAAATCTGCAGTGAAAAATTATTTTAGTTTTAATTTTGTTTTTTAATATACTTCCTTTTTTTAAAAAAATAGCATTATATTTTTTTATTATATTTTCAAAATAGCAACATTTTCTATTCTAGTTCTATTATTTTTATAGAAATACTGTGAAATATTCATGGAGTGGATTTGTCACTTATTTAGTTTTCCAACCTTTTCTCAAAAACATTTTAAATTGTTTAATGTTGTCTTTTTTATAATATTCAGTAGTGAATGACAGAGGTGGACAATTTTTTGAATGCATGAATGACAAATAAAGGCACACGATTCAGTTTTCTGCCGGTAAGAGCGTCATTTATTAATAAGTGTTGCTTTACAAAAGCGAAGCAAATGATTTATAATGCAGATTAATTATAGTAAGACAAAGCAAGTGTAGAGAAGCAAATATCTATGGGCATCATTGGAATTAAACTATTTCAATTGAAATCTTCTCCCAAATTAAAAAGGATTTTATTAATGTGCAATCACTCAAGTGCAATTCAAATGAAGTCCTAATCTGAGGCGCCATGACATCATCAGATCAGCTGACATTCTAAACCTGACGTGATTGGCTCTGCTCATTCCAGTTGACCTTCATCATTTTGAATCTAACGCGGATGAAAGCGAGGCTGTGAGGGACTGTACACGCGCTGTAGAAAGATCACGTAATTTTCAAAACTGTTTATGGAGTTTTGTCTACTGAAAGTTTAACGCTGAACGATCAGCATGTTGGCAATCCATCAAACGCGCTGTACTTCAGCTCCAGCCTCGTTTTCATTCCCGCCAAAATTAAACATGGCGCTGCCCTGACAAAAATCTCTGAACACAGTTGCATGTTTATTTTTTATTTGTTTCCTATGGCGCTTTTTCTATGATCCCGCTGAGTTCGTGACGCTCAGCTTGTCGTTAAATCGTCGAATCCGATCTCCTTGTAGTAGAGGGCGATGACGTCGATGAGGTGCTTCATGACTGTCTCAAGTGCGCGCCGTTTCACTTTCTCCACCAGCACCTCCACCAGCACCTCAGTGATCAGCTGTCGACACACACACACACGAACAGAGGTGGACAATCCAGGGGTCAGAAAGTAAAAGTCCTGCCATATGTTTATTCCAGCCATGAACTCAGCAGCTGATTTCACCAGAGGAGGAACCAAGTCATTCCTTTCAGATCACAAACCAGTCTCCAGTCATATCCCAAGTCCTCAAAGAGTTCAAGTTAATGAGATAATTAAGTGACTAATTAAATGATGATTGTGCATTAGTGATGAACACCTGCAGTTATTGAGAATTACAGAGGATCAGATGCTGATGTTTTATTGGTTAAAATTATGTCTCCATCATGGAGATCAGTGTTTGCTTTAGTTGTGCTCTTGACCCTTTGCTGCATTAAAAGCTTGAGATGACAGATGAGCTGAGTTTTTAACTATGGTGTTACCCAGCATGCATTGCAGCATGAAGCATTTAAGCGATTCATATGCTGGTTCTTGATGTCTGTGTGTGTCTAAATAGTACAAGAGCTCAAATATTTATATGCTTCACATATATTTAAGATTCATTCAACAACTTTTAGAGCAACACTTTCATTGCATGCTGTAGTTTTACAGAGTTGGTTACTCATAACCTAAACCTAAAAAAGAAAGTTAGTTTGGATGTAAACAGGTCTGTGTCTGATGATTGTCACATCACATGGAAACAGCTAACAGCTGCTCACTGCACATCACTGATCCCATTGCTTTATAACACCACAAGCAGTATTACAAAGACAAATCTAACACAAAAAGTCAAGGGTCAAGAGCCCAACTAAAGCAAACACTGATCTCCATGATGGTGTCATCATTTTAACCAATAAAACATCAGCATCTGATCCTCTGTAATTCTCAATAACAGCAGGGCTGCGTTCAGCCTCGACAAAACGGTGCAAAACTTTTTTTAAACGGAATCGTGATGCGTTGAACACCCTGTTCTGATGACGCAAGAGTTGCATCTATGGCAGCTGAGAAGGCCATTCTTTGTGTTCTTTTTGAAGAATTTTCGGAGCCTGATGAAATCAGTATAAATACGTGTTTAATACTGCAAAATACGCTCGATGGTACAGTCACTGCCCTTGCCCTCCAGAATAAAAGAGAACACCCCAATCACATGAGGGGATTCGTGGAAACTGTGGTTCCTAATTATTGTGATCCAACATTTGCCTCGCATTTCAGGATGAAAAGACAAACATTTCAGGTGAAAGACAATCCACTTCTTACCTCCGAGACTGTGTTATGATCTATATAACCTTATTATTTTTATTGTGAGTATTAGTCTTATCATTATTGCTGATCGCTGTTGTTGTGCTATGATATTGTAATATTTAGCATTATATAATCAGAGGAGTATAGAAAAGTTTATGAAAGTGTCACTCCATAATACAATAGAGAAGTTCCAGATGTATACTTGTGCTCTTATTATTTCAGTTATTTTGCCTTTAATGTAAATAAACATGTGCAAACAATATACTTGCTCTTGTGAATTTATTTTGATGTTAATTACATTGTGCAAGCTGTCTCTTTAATACGGTTTATATACATGTTGCTGCTGATTGGGCTGACATGTTTGACACACCCACCAAACAAGAGAAAACTCATCTCAAACCTTGTTGCACACCGTTTCCAGGAAACATGTCATTCAAACCGGAAACCGTAGCAAAACGTTGTGCAACGGTTTGAGTTTGAACTTGCCCCTGGTGTTCATCACTAATGCACAATCATCATTTAATTAGTCACTTAATTATCTCATTAACTTTAACTCTTTGAGGACTTGGGATATGACTCGAGACTCGTTTGTGATTTGAAAGGAATAGGCTTTTTTGAGATGAGTAAAATTTGTGCAGAACTGATCACCGGTGATCACCACGAGATGCATGCCGGTTAGAAAAGTGTCAGAGTTACGTCCGACTTGCTCTGATGTCATGCTGACGTGTGCCAAAAAGCTCTCGCGACGGCGAAGCGGCTGTGTCGGATTGTGCAGTCGAGCGCAGTTGCTCTCCACCGACTGCGCTGATCAAAAGCATGATGGGAAACGACTGGCTGATGACACAGCTTAATGCTCATTGGTTCAGACAACCGTGATGTTGCGGTCTCTTCTAAAATGTTTTATTTCTTTATCTGGTTTCTAATACTATCATTTTTTATAGAAATAATGTAAAGCATTTCTCAAAAACCTTTTTGCAATGAAATATAACTGTTTACTTTTAAGTTACATTTTCACTTTTAACTAGCTGTCCATATATATTATACAATTCTTTAATGATTTAATACTTTTTATTATTTTATTGTGTGTTTTATTATGTATTTGCCTTCCTCAAAAACATTTTGCTGCGAAATGTAATTTTGTCATTTTTTTTGCAACAAATACAACTTTTTACTTATAAGTAAAATTACCATTTTTATTCTTCATATTTTATATTATATATGTTTTATCATTTATTATTTATATTTAATAAAATAATATTTTTATTATTGAAATATAATATAAGCTAAAGCATTCAAAATCAGTCACTTATGCGGTGAGTTCCCAGATAGCAACATAGTGTCCGGCCCACATCTGGAATGTGGAATGATGATCTGGCCACATGTAGCGTGGAATGATGGCACTTGGGCGGACCGCTCAAACGTTAGATTTAAACCCCTGTTCATTCTCAATAAGAACTTCTGTAGACCTCTAACAGAAATAAAGTCAGTCTGGTTAGCAATAAGTGAAGCTGGTGATGCTGTTTGTGGAGTTGTTTAATTCTCATCTGCTGAGATCTTCAGAGATTTAATGTCTTTTATCTTCAGTTGATTTCATATAAGGCTGTGGCTGCAGTCAGTTGTAGTTCTTGAGTTTCTGTTTGTCTCTCTTTTTTTCTGTTCTTCAGTGATTTTGCTTGTTAACAAGCCTAGACAAGCTGAGAGGACTCTATAAGTAATAAGATTTTGTGGCTCAGATAAGGTTCAGTGTGGTTTATTTCTTTGCTCTTGGCTGACATGTGGCATTCCTATGTCCTGCTTTTGGCCCAGATTTGGCCAACAGGAGCGGTCCGCCCAAGTGCCATCATTCCACGCTACATGTGGGCAGATCATCATTCCACATGTGCCAGATGTGGGCCAGACCTGGGCCAACACTATGTTGCTATCTGGGTTATAATATAACAGTAATACTATTTTTACTTTTTACATTTTTTTATGTAAAAGTTCAATGTCAATGTTCAATGCACATTAATTATACTATTAAGTATAATTTATTTTATATATATATATATTTATATATATTTATATAATTTATGTAAATGTTTATTATTTATATATAAATAATGTAAATGTTCAAAACCAGTCACTTGAGGCACTAGGTCAGTTAGGATGCTGTCTATGTAGGCAGTGAGTCAGTTCACTAGGTTTTGAAACAGAGGCCGTAACCGAATGTTCCTGTGAATGTGTCTGTGAATGAAAGTGTGGTTGGTTACCCTGAAACTGCTGAGGTCAATCTTGTGCGTGTTGTCTTGTGAGGTGTCCAACAGTTTGCGGATGGTAGCGTGATCTCCTTTGGCCTCCAGCAGCTTGCCCAGCTTCCTCAGCACGATCGCGCCCTGGGCCCCCACCGCCACGTTTCCCTCCAGATCAGACATAGGGATGCTCTTGATCTTCGGGAAGAATTTCCTAGTGTGCGGATACTCCTTAAACAAACTGAAGAGAGAGAAAACATCAGGCAGACCACATTCACATTAATCATGATTGAGTCAAGAACTGACCGGGTCAGAACTTTTCCTCCGTAACCCGCGTAGTCGCCCTTGACGTCTTCCCAGCAATTCAGAACCACTTTGTAATCGGCCATGATCTGGTTGTGAGCGGCCATCATCTGCGTGAGAAGACAAACCAAAAAACACACACCTGTCATAGATATCCAGTCAAAATTCTTCTTTAGAACATTTCAGGCATTTGGAATTGCTTTTGCATCATTAAACAAGGCGTTTATGGGCGACGTGCTTCAGTATGTGCCACTCAGATTAGCACCACATGGCCTTCGCTTGACTCATGACCGGTAATAAACCACTTTCAGCTGTAAAGCCACTTTAAAACCATATACATTGAATAAATGCAACTCATATGACCAGTTTATGTCAGGCAGGAGAGCCTATTGACTTGCATTATTTTTTAATTTTGTTATATATTAGCCAAATTAGTACCAATGGTCCCATAAATATATCTTAAAATAGATTATTTTTAATAGACATTCAGGTTTGTTTGCATTTTGTTTGGCTGATTGTTTGCATTCATCCAAATAATGATGATTTGGTTTTAATCTCTTGCCAATTGGACATGAATAGTTTAACTTATTTTGAGTATATTGAAAGTCTTGTTCAGTGGTTTGATGATAGTAACTTACAATTGAACATTGAGAAGACAAAGGAACTATGCTGTGGGAACACAAATAGGATCGGTACAGCTGGCGTCTCATATGAACAAATTACTATAAAAGGTGTAAAGGTAGAGCAAGTTTAAAATTTTTTATATTTAGGTACAATCATCGATGACAAACTCTCATTCCAGGAAAATGTGGACCATATATACAAGAAGGCAAGACAGTGTTTAGGTCTACTCCGGAAACTAAGAAATTTTAGCATCGATAGGAGGGTCCTAACCATTGTTTGGTAACATAATATTGTATCATGGTATGGAAATTTAACAATGAGACAGAAAAATAAATTAACACGAGTAATTAATGAAGCAAATAGGATAATCGACCAGAAACAGAGTACAATGCAAGAGCTGTTTTTACACTTTATGGAAAAAAGGCGATAGCAGTATATTCAGACCAAACTCATCCACTTCATTCGGCTGCATATACCGCTGGCTAAAAAGAACCTATATAAAAGATCATTTGAACCATTGGCGGTGACTGTTTTAAACCAAATTCTTAATTGAGGTATTATCATGAGGTATCTTTCTGTAGGTGTGTGTACACGTGTATGTATATGTGTGGGCATACATATATATTGTATTGTATTCATTTTTCATTTTATTTTATTTTTTTGTTGTGTGATATGTGAATGTTAGGATGTATTTTCTATGCCAGTGTCAAAGATGAATTTCTGTTCAGGAAATCTGGACAGACAATAAAGTTAAACTAAACTAAAACCAAACTACTTGGTGGGTTACTGCCGCTTCAGTGCAGCCAGTCACATTCAGCTCCGAATTGAACGGGTTCCATATCACTCCATAAAACATTGAATATGTAAAAGAATAAAGTCATATGAACAGATGTACAATAAAAAAATTATATTATTATTCCCGTATAGAGTGGAAGGAGAGCAACATAAATCTGCCATAAATCAATGGTTCCTGACAGTGGACTTCCAGCCGCCAGGCAGCCAACCACTGGCAGATCACGTGACCTGCCAGAATCAGACTGCCAGCTGCCAATGGTCACTGGTGCTGCCAATCAGTTAGGGATTGAACCCCTAATGGAGTTTAAGTTGGCTTTCTTTTATAGAATTATTAAAAAGCATTGCAGTTTGTCCTGTTGTCGCTGAAATTACTTTATGAGAAAGATTCTTGTTATTGGGATAATTCACGTTTTAATAGGCATTTTTATGCTTTACATTATTGCATAACAAATGTTATTACATAACATAAATCATAAAATCGTCACAACTAGTGGCAGTATTCATACAAATTAGAATGATTTCCTTGGAATGAGAGGCAGCAGCGGCTGGCTGGTTGAGCGTCCAGCGAAGTGTCAGTAAGCAACCAGTCGTGATCACATTCATTTGGCTGCTTTTATTGGGG